CCTTACTAATACATTGATAGTTTTACAGGATTAATATTACAAAACCTTTCACTCACAATATTTTTTAAAGATCAAGATCTTAACCTTTCAATAAATCACAATCAAAATTTTTCCAAGTGGTTCAAGTATCGCATACACTTTTACAATAGATTTTCTCTCACAATGATTTTTTACACCTTACAATAAAGAGAAGATTACAATGGATTAAACTGAAGTTGTTATGGAATATTTCTAGCTCAAAAATATGAAAGAGAGGATTGATGCAAATAGATTTTATAACTTTGAAGAGATTATAAAAATAATAGAAGTTTTTAGATCAGAAAGTATACATGTATCAAATGTGTTTTTTAGTATTTATAGATAAAAGGAGAGCACTTAGTCATTACTCACAAACCAAATTTTTTAGTTCAACATTTTGGTTTTTTAAAATATCTTAACCGCTCAGAAATGGCTAAGTAACTCTTTTGATAGAAAAAAAAAGTTATTTATGATAAAAGTTTTGAGTGTAAATGATTAGTACTTAAAAGTGCATTTTAATCAAAGTTTTATATCATCATTTTGCAATTGAAATATCAATAACTCCTTAATTAAAACATGTTTTATAATAAAAAATTTGATAATATAAGATACCTTTAATTTATGGTAAATGTTTATTTTAAATGCAAGCCTATCACATAAATCAAATGATTGATTAATGAGTTTAACTACTAAAATTAAGAAGACAAAGAAAAGACTAAGTTTAAAAAAGAGATGCTGATTCAATTCAAACTGGAACATTGTTCAATCATTGGATCATATCTGGAGCTCTAGATATTGGATTTCAGTTTGGTTTATATAGTTAGAAAAATAAGATATAGACCTAAAACATTCATAAAGAGTTCAACACTTCATTATGTCGTTTGGGAGTTCAAATTTTAGCATCAAAAGAGAAGATTGAATATGTTTTACGGCCAAAATATTGTTCAACGTTTAACCGTTCTACGGCCAAAATATTGTTCAACGTTTAACCTATATTTCAAGTTCTAGAAATCTAAATGTACCGAGTTTTTTTGTTGAAAAGACAAGACAATTTCCTAGAATTTTCATAAAGACTATCTGTTTAAATTTTGATGTTAGCAATGATGCTTTATTCAGAAAAAAAGATAAGAATTGTCATAAAGTCAAGAGGTAGCCACCCACTCAATAATTAGTCATCAAATTAATAATTTTGAATTTTGACCTATAAAAGGAGGTGTTTGTCATGCATTTAGGTATTTTAGTTTTCAAATCAAGATCATGTTCTTGCTCTCTTTTTTTATATTTTTTAGATACTTAAGTTTTGCTTTCATTAATCTCTTATTTATGCTTTTTATTTCCTTTACTATACTTATATAATCATGTTCTCGTTTTGTTTATTTATATTTCTCTTCTTCATTATGTTTAGTTAAGTTTATTATGTCAAGGTAAAAAGGTTTCACTAATGGTGTTATGATAAATATAATATAAACTTCAATGATTATATCATAAACAACTTGCTATTAACATGTCTTATCATTTTTATCTTATTAATTCTTAATACCTTACTTGTTAAATGGTTAATCTAAATTTGTGTTGTATAACATTCGATACAACAAATGCTTGATACTTTCATATCCAACCGTATGGTATAACTTATACATATGCTATGAAAAGAACTTAATTTGTTATTAACATAAATTAGCATCATGAATTTTTGACAATATTTAAAAGATTGGCGTTATTAAAATAAGATAATTAATATGATAATGTTAAAAATTTATAATGAAATATTAATGATAAATCATTCAATTTGAACCTCCTTTGTGTATGGTTTTTAGTTAATTAATAAAAAGAGTTTATACTATATTTATTTCTTATTTATAATACCATTAGTGGATCCTCTAACCTTGACAACTATTTTTATTCTTATTTGATCTTCACATTAATCTTATATCTCAAAATCATCTTTAACTCATCACCATCACCATCATCATCATTATTAACTTATATAGTTAACCTCCTTGTGGTTCGATTTCGTTTTTACCGGGTTATTTATTACTTCAACACTTATTTTTACCGAGTTATTTATTACTTCAACACTCCTGCACTTGAAAAAAATATCAATCTTTTGGTCGTGTCGATAAAACAAGCTAAATATTGAGTCTAAACAAGCTAATTCTTAAGTGTAAAATAAGTTAAATATTGAATTTAAGATAAATTAACTCCAAAGTTAAAATAAGTTCGGTTAGCTCTTACAAAGTACTAGTTAACCATTTAGTTAGAAATAGTCAAGAAACTTTTCGGTGTAATAAAAAAACACAATAAATCATTTGATCAAGTTTATGCTTTTTATTTAAAAAAGAATAATAATGCCAAAAAATATGATAAGAGATTTTCTCATGAAAATATTTCTCAATATGTATTAATTGGCAATAAGAAATTATTTTGAATAAAAAATTATTAATGTGATACCAAATTAAATCCTATAAAGATTTGAATACATAAAATTAATATTAGGCATCTACGAGTCAAGTTTGCATCCAATGAATCCATTTTGATCCAATTTGACATAATAGAAAAATCCCTTCAATATCAAATCTTGACACACATATTAAGTTTATTAAATTGTTATTGTTATCAAAATTATTAAATCATAAGTGCCAAGGATCTTTGGACTAATAAGTTATGAGTTCCTTTGAATAGATTTTAAAATGATAAACATAGAAATAGGAATGAACTTGTCAAGGGCCATACGGGGGGGAACTTTTTCAAAATATAATTAAACTCAACCAAGTGTGTTGGGTTAATATAGTGACTTATTAACATAACTTATACATCGGGCCGAGCTCTAATGTAATTTGAGTGAAAGTTAATCTAGTATGACCCAACAAACCTAACGAGTGACAAAAACTTGATTTGAATTTTTTACAAAAAGAAATCATAAATGATGTTGATTTAATTTTCTTTATATAAAAAATCAAAATGATGATGTTTTGGATTGACCCAAATCAAACTAAGTCAACTCACCCAATACATGACTTAGATTATGACCCTGATTGAATTTAATAACCTTGTATTTTGGATTTAATTTTTATTTAATTAAAAAAATTATAAAAATATACATTGGCATGACAAATAATGAATAAAACTATCAAGAAAAAAATGTAGTTTTCTCAACTTGAACTCTATTTCCTTCTTAATTCATCTCATGATCTTAAAAGCAAGTTAAAAAAAAAAACTAAGACAATGTTTCAATACCTTGTATGTGATTAAAGAAAAGATTTATAAATGCAATAAAACAATGCAAAAAATCCATGAAAAAAATTTAAAGAAAATAAATTTTATTTTCATTGAATATTCATGAGATATATTTCATTTTTTATTTTTGTATATTAGATACTCTATAATAAAAACAATTGTTAACATTCTCATAAAAATCTAAAATATTATTTGAAAACCATGAAAGAATTGAACAATTATTTAAATATCATGCTAAGCTGTTTTTTTATAATGCGTTTCCTTGAAAATAAAAAAATTTATAAAAATAATAAAAAAGAGATAGGGTCTTGATAAAAAAAATAAAAAAGAGCGAGCCTCATGCGCCTAGCCTAATAAGAAAAAGGATTGGCGTGTATGGCCCTATAAGATTAGGCATATGCTTTTGGTTTTTTTATTTTATTTTATTTTTGTTTTAGAATAGACAACACATCTTTCACCTCTCTTTTTTTAGTTTCTTCTAACAAAGTAAATGAGGTGTTATATGCTCGCCAATATTCCATCCACGAGAGAAGTGGCTGAAAAATCAGTTAAATATTTTTGGATCCAAAACTTATTAATAAGTTTCTTTGCACTGGAAAACACCTAGTTAACACCTTTAGAAGCTTAATAAACTAATTTATTAACTCAAAATATTCTCAAATCGGTTTAAAACACAAAATTATATAAAAGAGAAAAAAAAAGCTATAATTTTTCCACTATCATTTTTTATTCCTATATTTTTAACTTTCATAAACAACAAAATCTTCTGTTTTTTTTTTTATATATAAAACTAAGTACCAACTTAATGTCATAGTGTTATTTTGAGGTCATAATAACTCAATAGAAAATAAAATAAAACAAATCAGTCAGTCTAATTCCTAAAAATCACATTATTAAATGAAAAAATTAAAAAGAAATGTTAAATGCCCAGATTAATAAAACATTTTTATAATCTACAATAATTTTCCTTATATGTTATGATATACTCCTGGGCAACGTTTTTTAAAAATTTAAATTTTTTTGGTTAAAAATTAATTTTTTTTATATATTTTGAATCGTTTTAATGTGTTGATCTCAAAAATATTTTTTGAAAAATAAAAAAATTATTTTAATATATTTCAAAAAAATACTTTAAAAAACAAACATAATAACTCTAACAACTAGACTAGAACCCTCAATTATTTCACCCACATGCTATGCTATGGTACACTCCACAATAAAAATGGCTTTCTTTTAGGTTTTTGTTGATAATTAATACGAATGAGTAAATTTAGGGATTCTGCCTATTCTTGGAAAGATCTTTTCTTTTTGTTTTTGTAGCTAAAATAAAAGGGAAGCAACCTCGTGATTGCAAGAAGTTGCCAAGTTGTCATGGTTGCAGATGTCATCCAAAGATGCATATGTACTTGAGAATTGCAAAAGCTGGATTGAGTGGGAATTGGGAATCAAAGTTGAGAATTTCCCTCTAATTACCAGACCTTTATGTTGAAGCACTTTTATCGTTTTATGTTGATTTTGTCTGCGGCCCAAAATTGCATGCCATCTTTTGGTTTCGAATTTTACATCTCAGTATGGAAATGCTTGAAATATGTAGACCTACGTACAGCCCCATCCTTCTGCTTTTCAACATTTCACCACTGTTTGACTTGCCTTTTTTATCTGTTTCTTGCATCTCATTCTTTGTTGGCTAAAAAAGAAGAAAAGGACAGCAAAAAAACAGGAAATTGAAATCACCCTGCACAGCAACAGGTTAACAACGCGTGCACAATTTATTGCTCTGTACCTTGTTTCACAAAATTTTTGGAACATCCAAAAACCATTCCTCTACCAGGACAATTAATCACAATAGCCTTCTTACAGGTACAATTATTGGATGCATGCAAGAACATTATTCAAACAGGAAAATGGTCCGACTGGAGCAATTTATCTCAGCAGAAAAGACGTGCATAAGGGCTTTCCTTCATCTGCTTGATTCCATAGGTCTTGCCTTAAATATTTGCCTGTGACAGTTATGCTTCTAGTTGGTCAATTTTCTTTCACAAAATCACATGATGGGCATGTTCAGTGAACGCAAAACATCCTTGAACTCGAAATCTCGGGTTTGCTTGTTGAACTGTTCAACAAGCTTGTACCTCCCATCGTTTAGGTAAAAAGATTGGGCAGTCTCTAAAATCCATTCAGCCTCTTCATCAGTAAGCTTGCTGGTGAAAACAATATCTCCTCGGATAAGAACCAAATCTTTGCTTTCTGCAAATTCAGTGTAGAATTTGACAGTTAAGTAGGGAGACGCCTGAGTTCCTCTTGATTTGTAGTCCTCAAGACCAGTGAAAATCATATGTGGCATCTGCACTGTAAAAAAAAATGTGGATGGAGATGTGAGCAGATGAGTAAGCACAACAAGGTCCAGATCAGGTTTTCCATCTATCTTTTAGACAACGAGGTACAGTGAAAAGGAGGATTTGGGACTGCAGTATTGAGCAGATTAGTGCTGCCAGCACTCAATGTCGCTTATTAATGCTAGAAAGCATTATTATAAAATGGTGGTTGCTCAATGCAATGAACAGATAATCACTCAGATCTTAACTCGATAAGGACCATAAACACTATTCTCTTCCGATGTACCCATTACATGTGAAATAATAAAAAATATCATGATAACCAAAAGGCTCAAATCAGCATTGTTATCCATTCAGCAATGCCACAGTCATTCTTAATACAATTTTTAGGAGATAACACATGACTGTGCCATAACAATCTAATTCCTAAAAAACACTTGAGTTAGCATACGATATCATAAAAAGATTTTTAAAAAATAGATATCTAAAACATCCCACTCAAATAGGGTTAATAAACTAAGGAATTTGCTTGCTGTGAAAAAATAACTTTGACAAGGCAAGCCTTAAGAATTAACTAGTAGATGATGTCAGTCAAAGCTAGTCATCAAAGTTCAGAAATCTAACCTTGAGCAAACATTGTTGTATAACCACTTCCTCTCCACAAAGGAATGACAAAATATTTGCTGAAGAAAAGAAGTAGGGCCAGTAAAAATAAGGAAAACATATATGTCCAACACAAAACATCATATGGTTGAATTACCAATCTGCAGCTCTTTGCACCAACAACTGATAAAGCTTGGCTTTCATGGATGCCCCGATATGTCCTCTTCCCAAATGATACTGAAAAAGACAAACTCCACCCATAAGTAATATCCACAATAAAAATCACCCAGAAACTCTATCCATTAATAATACACTATCACTAATTGAGATCCTTCTCAAATATGCAAACATAATGGTTAAGAATAATCATCCCAAATGAAGGCCTAGTAAATATATTAAAAAATGCTCTTAATTAAAGATGCCGGACTGCACATTGAGAGAGAGATATATAGTTAATACTGCGATTAAATTATAATCTCCTTTTATGAAAGTGTTTGTACTTAAAAGAAAAGAATATAAACAACTAGTAAACAAATTCAATGTTTAGCTCATAAGCAAATTTCTGGGTTCTTCAAGTAGTGCATTAGTGTTTCACGATCAGAAGAATAATAAATGATTATCATATTCCAAAACATTTTTCTTCATAAAAAGAAATCTCCTTTCTTTACTTTTCCATGACCTTTGTAGCTTGCAGTACTCAAACCAGGTAGCGATATGTACTCCATAGTTCATTTATGTGACTAAGGTAATGATATGCACTGTGAGTTTTAACCCCTTACTTCAAAAAAATTTAAAGTATTTTTCTCAGTTAATAATTCAATAGCAAACTCAAACTTGACTCCATTAATACATATGAAGAAAACAAAACCAACAACAAGAAACTCAAGTTAAGCTCAGTTTACACCAATCTAGTATTTAAGTAGGCAGTTTCTAATCAAGTAAGCCAATCTATAGCACCAATCACAAACAAATAAATGAAAATAAAGAATTCTGGTACATTACATCGTCCCAAATGGAGGCGAGATCCTCGGGAGATTTAGTCTTGGCCCGTTCAATATCCATGATTGAATCCAACGGTTTCGGCTCTAATGGAGTGAACCCAGTTGCAAACCTTGATGTTCTAACAAAACCAAGCGAACCCCATTTGAGAAAATGACCAGGGATGGCGGGTTCTTGTTGTTTTTGGAGATTTGCGCTCTTCAGAGAATGGGTATTGGAACTGCGTTTTATTGTTCGGGTCAGGAGTGTTGATAATGAAGAGGTTCTCGTGAGTCTTGATGATATGCGCTGCATAGTTAAGCCTGTTAGCTTCCCAATTGAGCAACTGGTGAATTGTTGGGGGCAGTTGTATATCGAAGAAAACTTGGTTTGGTTTCTCTGGCTCTTTGAGGAATTTTATCGAACATTTGTGACGCGAAGCCACGGGAGTTAGGCTCGTGGACCTTGAGAGGGGAGGATAGATCGGCTGCCTGGCAAATGATTTTTGTGCGTGTTCAGAACTAGACGCATCAACTAACTTATGGGCCTGAATTGGGCTCGTGTAATCTGGGCCAACCTTAAAGTTGGCAGTACCTCAACCCCTCAATTGAAATCTTTATTATGTCCCTGTGTAGTTACCTGGCTAGAAAGAGGAGAGGCTAGTTGTGTTACCATGGAGTTGAGGTGAGTTTTAGTGAATGCCAGAGCTTCATCCAGTTTAATTTCTCCATGGATAATGAAGTATGAAGCTTCATACAATCTGAACAAACCTTTTGCGTCATGCGTAAGATTTTCCTCTAAGTTGCCTTTGTCATCCTTGAACTTGTTTAATACATCTGCTTCACCAATTGATGAACACAATAAAAAATGGCAATGAATCTACAATGAATTAAGAGTTGAGTAAATTTGAAAATGATCATAGAGAAAGCTTAATTACCACTCTGCTACTATTTTCGTTGGGGTTAGCAGTATAAACCTTTGAGTGAGGTTAATGACATCATTGTAATTATAAATTAAGATGACAATTTCGTTATTTTGAGTTATTCAAGGCTTTTTAGTTATTAAATTGAATATAATAATAATTTTGTAAATTTTTAAATTTTTTTTATACTTTTGGACGTGAATTGTTATTTATCATGTAAATTTTATTATGTAAAGTGTAACTTCTCATAATACAATGAGAAAATAAAGATACAATCAAATTATGAAAAGTTTTTTATAATTATTCCAAATTATTTCGAATTTGAAAAACCAATAGAGTATTATTAAAAGAAATTGTCTATATTTATTTAGTAATTGTTGAATTTTTTTTAATTTCTCCACATTAGCAAAAAAAACAATTTATTTTGTTTAGAGAAGTAAAAAAAATTGATCTTTTTATTAATTTTTTTCACATAATTTTGTTATTATAAACTAATTAGCTAACAATAGATTGATTATTTGAATCTTTTAAATAATGTTTTTTTATAATATTCTATGAATGATAAAATGACAAATTTATTAATAAAACACTCTTAATAATGATAAAAGTATAATGTTTTATAAGCATGATTAGCAAATTTGATTTTTCATGAAAGTTTTGGTTTTATATATTTGAGATTTTCTATATTTTACATACAATTTATTTATTTATCAAGTTTTTATTTTTAAAATAAAATAAATAATTATCTAAGAAAAACAAATATTGAGGGAGAGATTGACCCTTTTTTGGACACCATATTTTCAATACTAAGGATATATATCAAGTAAGTACTTTTGAGCATAGCCTAAACACCTAATTTGTTTACTTAAAACATGTACTAATTTGAATTAATATAAAAATCAATCAGGAAATTAGTTCAAAAAACTGATAAACTTAGAGGGTTGACATGAGATCTGATAAACTTGAAAAAACTCGACTTTAAATCAAGATATACAAAAATTAAAATCAATTTCAATTTCAATTCAAGACACTCTTGAATTTACAATAATTAGAAACACTAAATATCCAAGAACTAAACATAAAATAAAATATAAATATAAATTTTGAATCACATGAGATCTAAAAAATTACATTTAGCAATAGAGAATTCATCATAGATACTAGCAATATGGTGTTCAAAAAATGGTTAATCATTCCATATTCATGAGTGGATATGAACCGTTTGATTGAGTGAATTAAAAAGACAATAATAAAATCAAGAGCAGATAATAAGAAAAACAAAAACAAAAAGGGTAATAATAAAATCAAGAGATAATAAGAAAAACAAAAACAAAAAGGGGATTTTTATATGGGTAGCCATAATAGACTTTAGTAATTGCTAGAAAGAGAAAAAGAAGATAGGACATTTTATGTGCTTAAAAGTTGTTTATGTGATTGTGAGAAACAAGTCATAGTAGTGTGGGAAAGAGGAGCGATCTTGTAGCTTAGCCTAAAAAACCTCATTCTATTAAAACAACCTATATAACCAAGACCAAAAGTTAATTATTTCATACTTGTAAACTTGATCTAGATAAGAGATAAGTAGGTGAGATAACAATATAGTGTGAAGAAGTGATGAGTTGTAGGTCATGTGTTATTTGAGTGGTTGGTGAGATAATTTTCTTTTCTTTTTTTTTAGTGGTTGACAACATGCCAACCCACCATGAATTATGGGTCATTTAAGTGATTGATTTTCTTTATTAGAAAACAAAGGCTAAAGACTTACATTTATTTTTTTTACCTAGATTAACTCGGGTTGATTCAAATTAACTTATTTAACCTATAACTCTAATATTACGTCAAGTTGATTATCAGGTCGCTTTAAAAAGTATGCATATGACTATTATATATATTTCAAATTCAACTATCATTCCACCACCAAATACCAAAGAATCTTGTCCATTTACCATGTCACTCCAAAAGATCATTTTATTTTTTATGTCACTTCAAAAGGTTATTTTATTGATTTCTCTTTTTAGTAATTTTATTATATTATCGGCTTACACTATGTTGTAGGTAATATTAATTTTTTAATGTAAAAAAATATATATTTGAGTATTATAAATATTTTTCTAGTAGAAAAAGAAATTAAATTATATAGGGGTTGACTTGATATGACTTGGTCAACTTGAAGTATTTAAAAGTAATTTGGATAATCAATAAAAACATAGTTTGATTTAAAAGAATTAAAGACATCTTTTCATAAAAAAATATGGAGACAAAAACATATTAGATTAACTTGAGTCAACAAGGGTTAGGTAGCCAAATCCACAACACAGGTTAATAAAAACACCACTTTTTTAGCTTTATTTTTTTTAATGTTAATAAAAAAAAAAGATAAGAAAACAAACCGAGTTAACTCAAGTTAACTAACTAAACTTATAATCCAAATTATAAGATCAGAATAACCTCATAAAAAATAATATAAAAAAATAACTTGAGTCAAGTGATCCAGATTTATGAGATTGTGATAACTCTATAAAAAATTAAAATAAACTATGAATCTTAATTTTCAATTAACTAATTATTGAAAGAATTGAGAAAAAAATTCAATTAATTTTTAATAAAATAAATGTTAAAAAATAAAAATAAAAAATAAAAAATTATATTAAAAAAAATATTATTGTAATTAAAAGTATTATGTGAGGTGGTCCATGTAAACCATCAGCACACCATTCAATTTCTCTTCTTGCATGACTTGATCACACACACATTACCTTGCGTATATGACCAGGAGCGTACGTTGACCATATATTATACCCACTGGAAACAAATTAACATTAATATAAGAAAAATGTGGATGTGCATGGTGCGTCAGTGGTGTCCTGTTAGTCCTTCATTCGCTGGTGTCTTCGCTGGTGTCCTGTCAGTTCATTTCAAGTTGCTAATTATATATATAACTCCTTCCCTTCCATTATCAATCTCAAGAAGCAGCAACGTGAAATCTAGGGCAGAAAATGAGTTTCTTGAGACTCTCTTCTGTGTTTGATGTTTATATTGCTTTCATTGGTCTGAGATTGGATCCCTTGATCCATCTATGGTATGAAGGAACCAAAAATTCGAGCCGAGGGTGGGTGTAAAATTTACAGTGTCTGGCTGGGCAATAGAAGAAGCTGCATTGAAGCTTGGAAGACATAGGTTTCATCCTGGAGGGCCTGATCCTCAGCTTCTGCAACGAAGATGCACAATCTTTGCCTTCAGAGACGCAGGTTTTGTCCTGTAAACGGGCAGATTTCGAATCCTGTCCTTCTCCCTATAATAATAATAAAAGATGAAGAAGAAGAAGTTAAGCTAGCTATTCTCTTCCCGGAAACATGAAATATATTATTACATTATAGCTTTTCGTAGGTTTTCTTGCAACTCTTCTTGTTCTTGGTGACAAATTGACTATTCCATGTTAAAATCTGAACTTAAAATGTCAGAGAAAAGCAGTTTTCAACAAGCTGTCATTGTCTTCTACAATAAGAACACAGGCTTCCTTGTTTTTTCAGCACTGTTTTGGGTAAAATTGCAGTGGACAATCTCATCATCTTAGCGTACAAAATCAAGAGCGGACAACAATCCAGTTTGACCTTAAAGCTGTCTTTGGATTTATTTATTTTTATAGGTTAAATTAGAATAAGAAAACAAAAGCATGATACCATCTAGTTTGAATAATAATCCATCTAGTTTGAATTCTATACTAGTTTTTTTTGTTTCCCCTTTTGATACCGCGAAATGGTTTTTAAAATCAAGTTCTATTTTAGTTATGTTATAATAATGGAAATAGATATTTGTAAAAAAAGATAAAAATTTGAAATCTGAAATAAAAAATATATTTTATCATGTGAATTTTCATTTTCTTATATATATATATATATATTATCAACAACACTTCTTTTTAATACAAAACTGAAGGTCATTAAAATAAATATGCATAAAAATTTAAATTATTTGAATAAAGAGGAAAAATATATGTTTTCGATCAAAACTCTAATATTTCCTTCTTCATTTATTTCTTATTTGTGTTTTACAAAAATATGATTTTTTATAATAATCATTGCCTTTTAAACAAAAAGTTTATAATGATCTAAAAATTATGACTTGATAAAAAATATAAAAAAATTATAACTCGATAATTTCTATATAATAAAAAAATAAAAAAACTAATATAAAAAAAATAACAAAATAAATGGTTATTCTCATTTAATATTCATGAGCATATTTTTTTTCATAAATCTTGTAAATTAGATTCATATATAACAATTCACAAAGCAATTAGTAAAATTATTAAAAAGATTATAATTTTATTAAATTATGATAAAATTTGATGATATTTAAGATATTTTATTTACAATAAACTTAAAAAGAAAAACCACCTAATAGATGTTCGGCTAACCCTCTTTTAATTTTTGTTAACCAAATTCTTTTAATAATATACTTATTATAGATCTTTAATAATAATTTTTTTAATATAAAAATATATTAAAAATATTTAAAGTATTTTAAATCTATTAATCATATTAAATCTATGAGTTTCAGACAATCAAGTCATACTCAAGACACTTAGATTTGGAGGCAAAACCAAATCCAAGAAAGTTAAATTTGGAAGTTGATACAAACCCAAATCTTTTTGGTTAGGCAACAAAGCTAAATTTAAAAAATTTAAATTTAATGTTAAATTTAATACATTTTATATTTAAAGGTAATGTAAAACTCAAAAGTCATAAGTCTAACAATCAAGTTAGACTTAATAATCGGCCATGCCAAACTCAATAATTCTAAATTTAGTGTTTATGCCAGATCTATTAGAATAGAGTCTTGCGACATGTCTTAACCTAATATACTTCAATAATTTTTAAAATAAAAAAAATAAAAAGATAACACTTTTTATGATTATCTAAATATTAATAATATAGTTAATAGTACCTTTTATGATCCTTAAAAATCTACCATGTAGTTCACAGTATAAATATGTTATATTTATAATGTGATCCAGAATATATATGCTCTAATACTAGCACAGTATTTTTCCCTCTCATTTTAAAGTATAATATAAGATGTGACGCTTAGCGGGCAATGCATGGTCATTGGGTTTAAATTCTGGCTACTTCTTATTATTGGAAAATCATATATTTGTGTTCCTGTAGCAAAAAAAAACCATTTCAACCCTCTTTTTTTTTTGTTTTCTATCCGGAAATATCTAAAAATATGCTGAAACCCAAATGAATATATTTTTAACTCCAAAATATTAAAAAATTAAATAAATTAATAAAAAAACTTAAATCAATTAAAAGAACTCAAATTTGAACTTATTTTTTCTGATAAAATGAAAGTTTCAAACTATTTTCATACAACTCCACTCTTTAAATCAGAAAACTTTACATCAGAAAAATTTATTGATATTAAAATAATATTTTTTTTTATTAAAATATATATGATCAATTGAACTTTTTTTTATCTTCTTTAAATGTCTATTTTCTCTCTCTTTATTTTTTCTCTATTATTTTTATTTTTTCCTAACAACAAATTAATTTTTTTT